CATTTCTGGGACTTTATTTTTTGCATTCTTTCGGGAAGGTAAGGCTATAGTCTTATCTGTTTTTGGTGATATTTTTGAAATATTCAGTTAAAATATTTTTGTTTGTAACACAAATTATTCACTTGGCAGCATGTTTTGCAGCATAAATTTGCGTTTTGAGGCATTATTGGGACTTTTATTTGTTTGCATTTTTTTGCAGATATTATTTTATTTTTTTTCAAAATCTGACCAATTATTATCGTTTTGCCATAATTCAAAATGCTATTTTCTGATGAAAAACATGCAAATACAATAAAATTTTGAAAAAAATTTCATCATAATTTTTTTTTACCATTTGACCAAAAATGACATACTAAATTAAGGTAAGAGAAAAAAACATTTAAAGAATTCTCAAAATGCTCTAATTTGATGAAAACAGCAGACAATTTGAAAAAAAAAAAAAGCCAAAAAATGTCATCATAATTGGTTATGTCTGACCAAATTAGCATGAGCAACATGCTAAATTAGGAGTTTGGGAAAATAAAAAAGAGAATGGCAATTCCAGCAAACCTTTTAAACAAATGGGTCCATAAGGACTGTATTAATGAGTCACGGCTTATTCTGAATCTTATTATGGACTCATCATTGGTTATTCTTTAACTTATACTTTCATTTAGCAGTAACTATATAATCTCATATTTAAATTATCGAAAAGTTTGGAAAAAGCAGCTTTTCTTGCGATTAGAGTCGTTGACAGGATTGTGAAAATAATCAGGATGAGCTTTAACAGTCAGTAAGGACAGAAGGAGGAATTAGAGGAGGTTCCACATGGACACTTTTGTTGGTTTAAATCTGCTTATCTTCACAACAAGGATTAAATATATTCTATAAACACGGATTTGTTTGCAAACATACTACCACAGACTAAACTTCAGCGCAGCTGTGTTTTAATCATCATGCTGTAACTTGATCTAACAAAAGAAAATGCCTGTTTAAAAGTGAAATATCACTCCTTAGTTTTCCAGTGTGAAACTGATCTTCTCCCCTCAGGGAACTGCATAATATAATATTCTATAAAGTCTTTATTTTAGCCAGTATATGCCTGACAACAGTTACGACTACGTCATCACATCTGAACATTTCTGCTACTTCATGCGCAGAGAAGTAAAATTAAAATGGGGGTCTGAAGTTTTATATGACTACAACACTGAAGATGAGAGATTGAACTTTAAAACAACTCAACTTATCTTCTAATGTTTTGAAGATAAAATGACAAATGATAAACTCTCAAAGACTTCTCTTTAGGAAAAAGTGTTTTACCCAACTTGTCTGTAAAGCACAATCGTGTTATTGTATTTTAAAGACACACCCTTAAAGAGCAGGATGAGGTTTTCCTGCATAACAGGTTCTTGTATAAAGGAAAGATAATGTTGGCCCTGAATCTCTCAAGAACTTTCTGCAAAATCCTGCTTCCTCTGTCAGGATCCCACCATAACAAATGTCTCTTACTGTGGCTTTTTTTCAACAACATTTTCGGATAGGTGTAATATCATTGGAGTCTCATTGTAATTCAAACGCATTTTTAAACATGTTTTCACTATGTACACATGGGGGCAGTGTTTACGCGTATTTTTTATTGAGCAGTCCAAGGAAAAATTCAGTCCGTTCAATGGATTAGCATCTCGGATTAAAAGATGCGGTAAATTAATGTAAAAATTTTAGAATTTTACATTTAAAGAATTTAATTATTAAACTTAATCTAAGGAAATAAACCTGACAATTTTAAACATTCATTTATATTTTCTTGATAAAATCGTTGCATTTAGCAGAACCCTTTTGGTTTCAGTGCTAGTTAACTAGTTAGTTCAGCATATCATTTAATTAAAATAAGTATTTTGAATTGGCAAACATATTCAGGATGAAACTGTATTTCTTTAGGCTACATTTTGGATTATGTCAATATTGCACAATCACTAGTAGGTTGTGATGATTATTGTTGTTATCATTTTGTTGGGGTTTTTGTGGCTTTTTTTTAAAGCAAAATGAGTCAAATGAACGCAGGAATAATAGTACATCTGCTTGTTCACTGACGTTTTCACTGCCAACTTCTTGATGACTGACACTAACCCTGGTATTTTCACTTCAAGTCAAGGACAATACATTCAAACAGAGCTGAAATGAAAACATTTCAAGATCTCTTCCTGTGTTTAGCAACTACAGCAGGATTAGAACAGGTTTGTGTTAGAGCCTCATTTTTGCACAGCTCCAGAGAACAAGACCTGTTGACCTTTCTGAGACAACAACAGGTAAAGATCACCTTAAGTAAAGTTTACACACTGCTCTATTACAGTTGGGACAATCAATAATGTCCAAGACTCCAGTGTTTTTGTTGAGAATAAAAAAGCATCTGGATTTACTTTTTCTAAGTACCCTAGACTCTTATTTTAATCTATAACTTTTTCTAGGATAAGCTGCTTTCATCTTTGCCATTAACATTTACCCATTTCACTGGTCAACTTCCAAATCACCTTTTAGCTTAGGCTTATCTGAAGTTTATCTCTACACCATAAATTTAACTTTTCTTTTCAATACAGCTGAATCTTACACAGTATGTGTCTGTCTCTATTTCAAGATTTTCAAAATGTTTATGTAAAATAATATGACTAAAATTTGGCTGACAACTTTTTAAACTCTCCACCAGTGTTTGACCTCCAGCCTGATGACTATCTTTACTGACAACAAATTAAATGCTGATGCTGACAGAAAGTCACTAATGAATGAAAGAACCCACATCTAAAAAACACTGCTGCTGAAATGTAAAAGTCATAAATTCCTGTCATCACAAAAGGGTTTGTTTTGGTTTAAAGGACTAAGTTATGGCTATGGTGTTTGAGCAGAGGGTTGTAAATAGCAAAATAAGAACTTTTTTCTTTTCTTTTTTTTAGGTCAACAGTATCTCACTCTCTTTGTCCATATTGAACTAAAAAAACTCTCAAAATAGTGCCACTGTTTTAATTCAAAATAACCTACAAACAGAGCAGGTAAACAGAAGATACTGTAAACGGATTTATAGGGCTGTTCTGGACAACTTCACTGTAATAATGTATTTTTATTGCCACTCCTGCAAAACAATCACATTTTCCTCAAATAATCTTTGGCACAGATATTTTTCTGAGCAAAAAACATTT